CTGGCACCCTATGTCAGGGTATTTGCCACCTCACTGGCACCCTATGTCAGGGTATTTGCCACCTCACTGGCACCCTATGTCAGGGTATTTGCCACCTCACTGGCAGCCCATGCCAGGGTGTTCACTCAGCATCTCTGCAAAGGCCTCATATCCCTCACTTTCACTTGTTCCTGTTAACACTGGAGCAGATGTTGGTGTTTGTTTAGACTTTGTTTCCCTCTTTTTTGTGTATAAGCTGTTTCTTTCTCCACAGAGTCATGTGGCACAGGTAGGTGTAAGCTGTGCTGCTTGCCTGTGCTCAACTCTCATGTTTTATGGTGTGGGCCTGAAATCCTGTTGCTTTATGACTTGTCTGTTGTTCAGTGGTCAGTGGGATTGTATTCATAGCGGGGGGGGGGGGGTCACCACTAATTTATCACACTCATTTCTCACAACGGAGAATGTGACCTGGTAATATTGGCTGTAATTGGCTACTTCGTATATAATTGCGATGTGCTCCATTGAGCAAAGTATTTAGCTAAATCCTGAGATCATTTGCTGTCCTGGGCAGCAGGTGTGATGGCATAACAAGGTCAATTACAGCACTTGAATCACAGGCATCAGAGGCACCATTGTTCATCGTCATCTCAAAGGAATGTCATTTTGTTGTGACTGTAACAAAACAGGTGCTGTGATTTATGTGTCGAGTCAGCCAGCTTGCAGAGTGAAGTCCCTGCTTGAAATTATGCTTGGCTCTTGTCTGTGAGCATCCGTTGTCTCTCATTTGATCTTTTTAACACTACATCCATGTTCTCATTCGGTGACCTTTCACTTTCTAGTGGTTGTTGTTTCTTTGCTTTTGATTGGTTGAAGTTTCATTCCATCTGTTTAAAGGAGTTGAAACAACAGAAACTGTAGCTTAACTATTATCCTTAGCCTTTCCAGAATGCCGGGATGCCGGAATGCTTGGCATCGAATGCCCGCATTTCCGCTGAGTCTCTCATTGGAGTGGGCTCATTCCCATTGCTTACAATAGTTTGAGAGGTTCATTATGATTTGTTCACATTTTTCTCTCATTGAGAGATTATGGTTTGTTCACATTTTCTGATATGGTGTTTATTAACCTCAGCTAGGTTAAGATATGTGGGAATTTGCTTGCTTATGAAGATACAAGCATTCCAGTTTATCCAAGGTCATCAGAGCATAGACCTACTGAGAAGTACTCAAGCCCCTCCTTGATCTGGATGTGTGTGTGTGTGTCTCTGTGTGTATGTGTGTTTTTTTCCCCCCACAATCCCCTGCCTAGACCTGCAGCTGGATTACTCGCTGACAGACGACTTCTGCAGGAACCACTTCCTTGTGGGGCTGTTGCTGCGTGAAGTGGCCGGGGCCCTGCAGGAGTACCGGGAGATCCGGCAGGTCGCCATCCAGGTGCTCAAGAACCTGATGATCAAGCACACTTTCGATGACAGATACGCATCCAAGGTGGGCACGTACAGATACTTAACTCCGAAGCACTTCTCTGGAAAGTCCAGGCTTGCTGAATCGGCAGGATACAGTAAAGGTGACATTGTGTCTTTCAGAGCCAGCAGGCCAGGCTGTCCACACTCTACTTGCCCCTCTTTGGACTGCTTTTGGAGAATGTACACAGACTCAATGTGAAAGAGGTCTTCCCTTTTCCTTGTTACTCACTTCAATAATGTAAGCCTGGAGACATCTACTGGCTGGAGGTAGAGTTGCACTGAGCACTAGTGATATGGTGCCTTTTTCTCTTTCCTTTCCTTTCTTTCTGGATTCAGAATGGGAGAGATGATTCCCTACTGAGCAGCTCAATGGCAACTCCACAAAAGACAGGGGTTAGCTTGGACAACAGCCTACACAAGGATGTGTTTGGTGTTATCTCAGGGACAGGTGAGCATCGGTTAGCTATGGAAGTTACTCTGCAGGAGTAAGACGCTAGTAATTTGGTAAAGCCTGTCTGAACATCTGCATTCTGTGTCCTGCAGCCTCCCCACATGCCTCATCCACACCGAACATCAACGCAGTGCGGCACGCTGATTCCCGAGGCTCCCTCGTCAGCACTGACTCTGGAAACAGCCTTCCGGAGAAATCTAACGACAAGACTAACTCTTTGGAGAAGGTAGCTCCCAAAGCATCCCCTCTTACCATCGCTCTTGCCTGGCTGTACCCTGATTTACATGCCGTCTGTAATGTTTGTAATATCATGCCAAGGAGACATTAGCCCACCTTAGGATGCCCACCTTGGCATCAATGTCAGTATTAGGATTAGCTGAAATGCTAAAATCTGTGTTAGCATTAGCATTGCTATTAGAACTCATGTTAGCATAAATATCACTTTTACCATCAGTTCACTGAAGCCTAGACTACAAATTCTGTTCCTCCTACAAAAGGTACTGGATTATTTTTAAGAGATGGCCCAGTATCCTGTGCTGATAGTGTGGGATCAGATGGGCACGTGATGGCCTGCTCCCCACCATCCGCACACCCTCGCCCTCATCCTCAGACTTCTGAACTGGCCCACCAGCAGCTCACTTGCCCTTTTTAACCCCCGACACCCCCGCTAGCAGAAGGAGCGATTTGCTCGGAGGCTTTCTGCTGCCACCCTGCCGTTGCCACCCGGCCCCGAGGACTACGTGCTGTCCACTCGCCCCAGGCGTGCCACTGTGGATTTCTCCCAACTCCCGGTGCCCACCATGCCAGAGACAGTGGTGCAGGGCGGCCATACACTCCAAGTACTCTTCCTGTCCCCCTGCCTAATCCTCGCTGTCCCCTGACCCCTCCTTGCGAGTGTCCCCTTTGTGGGTGCGTAAGCATGCCTTTGGGACTCTACCTGAGATCTGCTCTTTGCCAGGAGACAGACTGTCAGGGGTCCTTCAAGTGGCATCTGGAGTCCCTCTGCTGATGTTTAGGTCCTTTCCATCTCACATAGCCCTACCTCACCAGCAGAAGGGCTGTGAAGATGCCATTCTTTGTGTGTCACGGTATCCCTGCCCTGGGGAACATTCCAGGCTTTCCTTCAGTCTCACCTGCAGTTGCACCTTTTGATGGTGTTTAGTGTATAGATAGACTCTCCTCATGGAACCTCACTGGTATGCAGTGTCTTCAGGATGACACACACAGCATATTAGCAGGCATGGCTAACGTCAGGGTCCCGAAGGCCTTCCCGCAAGCCTGCCGCTATAAATGGAGCAACACCAGACCTTGTGACGTATTGTAAAGGCCACTCATTACCATGGCTGCCCGGGCCATTTGGACCTTCTCACCATGTGGAGCCAGGCGAGGCAGCCAGGCATTTCCTCTGAGGCGAGACGTAGCCTCACTCTTTCCATTCAGCCCCCGAGGAACTCGCTTCTGGCAAAGACATCAACTGGCTCTGCTGGTGTAGGACACGCTGGTCTGGGCCTGGTGCCCGCTCTAAACCCAGCTGTGGTCTTGGGTGTGGAGCTATCACAGTCAGAACCGTCATCTCAGGCCTGCAGAGCGGATTTGATGGCCTGCAGCGCCTTGGCGACACAGCAGGCCTCCCTTGTGCTTCCACATGCACAATGCTGCATCTTTTTCCCATCACACCAGCCAGCTGATGCCCCCATAGTAGTGACTTATAGTATGAACCCATATCTGAATTCCTGGGGTAATGTTCCTCTGAATTGTAAATTGTAAATTAATTTTATGTTTCCAAACCTGCACTGCGATGGGTTGACACCCCGTACTGGACTGTCCTTGCGCCCGTAACTTCCGGGATAGGCTCTGGACCCCCGTGACCCCGCATAAAACAAGTGACTTTGCTGTGAGGAGTGTCTCTCCCCGCTTTCTGGGGAGCAGCTCCTGGC